AAAAGTTAATGAAGTTGAAAGTTATAACCGCGGTTAAAAGTTATAACCGGTGTTAAAAGTTATAACTACGGTTAAAAGTTATAACCATGGTTGAAAGTTATAACTGTGGTTGAAAGTTATAACCACAGTTAAAGGTTATAACCACGGTTAAAGGTTATAACTATGGTTGAAGGTTATAACCGTGGTTGAAAGTTATAACTCGAGTCATAACCATTTTAACTTTTTCTGATTTTCTTAACTTTTAACTTTTTCAAAAAACAGTTTTAACTCCCACACTGACGGATACACTTTAGTTATATAAGTAAAATGTACAGATACATTTTGTTTTAGATTTCCATTGCAAACCCTGCATCATAGAATGGTTATAACCAGTGTTTCTAATGGAATTCTAAAACAAAATGTACAGTACACGCTGTTTTGGATAAGCAAAGTGTACAGCAAAATGTACACAGACATTTACATCACCGAAGTGAAGCGAAAGAGCAAAAAAAGAAAAGAAAAAGTTCTAGTATGAACAAAGATATTTTATAAAATTTTCCAGAATAATGTACACGCTGCTTTTTTAAGTAAAGTGTACAGCAGCGTGTATTTTCATAGCTGCAGATGTTTGTACATTTTGCTTCCGCTGTGTACACTTGCCATTAGAAACTCTTCTCTTGACCGCTGAGATGATTCATATTTAAAAGTAATATCCATTCGAATTAAACAGATGTCACTGTAAATTGGAACACTTAAAATTTTTATAATCATTAATATTTTTTTTAAAGTAAAATTTTAAATAAAAATTTTTATAAAATTCTCTAAAAAAAATTTTCTTCATTAAAAAACTCCTTTTATTTCATATCCATCCAAAAAATATTCTTCTTAAATTGGATTGGTCGTGTAAAAACTCGAATTTCTTCATATTGATTTGTCTTGTTTATTTTGTCATATTCGATAGTTTTAAGCAAAAATAGAAAAAAAGTCCAACTTCTAAACTATATTTTCTTTTAAAATTCTAGATCTTTATCGATTTCACGTAAATAATATTATCATATTGAACTTCTCTAAACATGGCTACAAAAGATCCAACTAGTGGTAAAATTCCAGCTCAAGCTGGTGCTGGTGACCAACAAGAATATAAAATACGTATAACATTAACATCAAGAAATGTTAAATCACTTGAAAAAGTTTGTGCTGATTTAATACAAAAGGCTAAAGATGAAGACATCCGTGTCAAAGGACCAGTTCGTATGCCAACAAAAGTTTTACGTATAACAACACGTAAAACACCATGTGGTGAAGGTTCAAAAACATGGGATCGTTTTCAAATGCGTATACATAAACGTGTTGTCGATTTACATTCAAAATCGGAAATTGTTAAACAAATTACATCAATTAGTATTGAACCTGGTGTAGATGTTGAAGTAACAGTTGCCGATACATAAACAACATATACACACAAAACAAACAATTTATTTCAACAATAAAGAAATGACATTAGGATTTTAACATCAAAATATATTATTTTGTCTTTTCTTCTTTTTATTGTTGATTTTGTTTTGTTTATATCAAATAAACATACATACACACAAAAATAAAAAAAATCATCAACAGTAACAAGATAATTATTAAAAAAAATGATATAATATTTCTTTTTCTTTTTTTTGATAAACGAAATCTTGTCAATCATTCTAGACATATTTGAAAAAGAAGAAATAAAGAACAAAAAAAAAAATATGAAACATTTATTATCAATTGTAAAACGAACTTCATTAGGTCGATTACAATATTATCGTTCTTTATCATCTACAGTAAATAATTATAATCAATTATCAACTACATGTGACTCTCAATTAGATATTTATAAGGTATTTTATTGTAAAACAAAAAAAAATATGTATATATATATATAGATATTGTATCTTAAAATTAGAATAGTGTACAAGTTTTGCACGATAGAATAATATAAAATATTAGCAAATTTTTACTTAATCAAAAAATAGAAGATACAAAAAGAGTTTAGTCTGTACATCTATCTAAATACGAACGAGATTTCGATTCGACCCTTTTATTTTCGGATAATACAAAAAGAAAATCCTTTCATTGTAGAATTTTTATTTGTAAATTTGTTTCTGAATGAAATATTGGTCTATTGTAGCTTTAATCGATCTTCAAAAGGTTTGTGTTCTTGTTGTATGATGAATGGGTATCTAAATTTGAACAAAAAAAACAGAACATATATTCTTCGGACGATATGTTTTTTGAGCACCAAATGAAAAAAAAACAATGTAAAAAAGATGACTTATGTCTTAAACAGATAGAAATTATAGTATACACATATAAAATCATTTTATTGTGATAAGGTCAACTCGATTTGACGATTTACTGATCAAGGGGCACAGGCTGAGAGTATGTATTGGTGTGGCTATAGAGTAATGAGATCTACGTCTTAACCTTCACTCACACCCAAGATACTATTTTGTAGGCGTGAGAGTGAGGATGAAGGTCGGGGTGTAGACAAGGAGGAAAAGCGGATCCTCAGATTCTTGGATCCTCCGGATCCTTTTAAATCCCAGTTTGGATTCTTTCAGATCCTAGGATCCGCTTTTTCCCCCTTGGGTGTAGGTTAGGACGTAGATCTCATTACTCTATAGCCACACCAATACATACCCTCAGCCTGTGCCCCTTGATCAGTAAATCGTCAATTTGAGTTGATCTTATCACAATTGAATGATTTTATATGTGTATACTATAATTTCTATCTGTTTAAGACATAAATTGTCTTAGTTTTCTGGTGCTCAAAAGACATTTTTTCGATTTAATTATATGGCTTAAGTTCTTATAACTGAAGGATTGCTTCTTCTTATTTCTATGAAAAAAAAAACAAATGATAAATTAATAAGTATCACTAATAAAATACTATTGAATGAAATTAATCAAATATAATTCAATGAAAAAAAATTTTTTTTTTTTTTGTTCATTTAGAGTAATTATGAAGCAATGACAAAAACTGTTGGAGAATTAAAAACAATTATAAAACGTATTACATTAGGTGGTAATACAGAAGCTCGTGAACGACATACATCAAAAAATAAATTATTAGTACGAGATCGTGTTGATAAATTACTCGATCCAAAGTTTGTTATTTCTTATGAATAATTATTTTATTTTTTCAATTTATCTTTAAAAAAAAAATATACATAGTACTCCATTTCTTGAATTTTCACAATTAGCTGGTTATTTATTATATGATGATGATGAAGTTCCTGCTGCTGGTATTATAACTGGTATAGGACAAATTGAAGGGTAAATCATTGAAAATAAAATTATATAAATGATAAGAAAATTTGTTTTTAGACGAGAATGTGTAATTATTGCTAATGATGCAACTGTTAAAGGTGGTACATATTATCCTATGACAGTAAAAAAACAATTACGTGCTCAAGAAATAGCACGAGAAAATCGATTACCTTGCATTTATCTTGGTAGTATTAATAGATATAGAAAAAAAAAACAAAACAAAAATTTCATATTAAGTTTAGTTTTTTAGTTGATAGTGGTGGTGCTAATTTACCACGTCAAGCTGATGTATTTCCTGATAAAGAACATTTTGGACGTACTTTTTATAATCAAGCAACAATGAGCGCCTTAGGTATACCACAAGTAAGTAAACTAAAAATCAACAGATTTAAAAAAAAAAACAATGTTTGTTTGTTTGTTTTTTTCAATATTTAGATTGCTGTTGTTATGGGTAGTTGCACAGCTGGTGGTGCTTATGGTACGTTAAATGTTTAACAAATTGTATGTGTCTTTTTAAAAGTGGTTTCCAAATTTCTATATAATCTAGCTGTTTAATATGTGTTTTAGCTGATGAAAAATAAGTAAATATTTTGCATCAGGACTTTGTCCTATTCGAAGAATGATCACTTTAAAAAAAAAAGATTTTTTTATAATTGTTTAATTCAGAGACATTGTTCAAATATCTAAATCTTGCCTCGAACAGCATTTGAAAGTTTATGAGTCAAATCAATTATAAAATATTTGAAGATTTCTACAAATTATAGAAAAGAGTTGCACAATCAGAAATTCTTAGGAAAGAAGACTGTAAAAAAAACAAATGTTTGTTCGATTGTGAAAACGAATCATTCCATACCTCTTCCAGATATTTCAATCTATTCAGGACGATAAATCTCTCTTCTAACTGTACTCTTGAACCTACTACTATTAACAAAAGTATGAATATATTCATATCTTTCCAATCTTCACATATTTTTATTATATAAAATGAAATATATTGTTTAATATAGTTCCGGCTATGGCTGATCAATCAATAATTGTTCGTCAACAAGGAACTATATTTCTTGCTGGTCCACCATTAGTTAAAGCAGCTACAGGTGAAGTTGTATCAGCAGAAGAACTTGGTGGTGGTGATCTTCATTGTCGGTTAGTTATCATTATTTTCTAATATAATAATAAAATATATATATAATAAAATAGTCAATCGGGTGTAACAGATTATTATGCAATGGATGATGCTCATGCTTTGCATTTAACACGGCGTATTGTTGCAAATCTCAATTATATAAAACCTCAACAAGTGTGCTAAATTTTGTAATTCTATTTCTATATATTTAGTATTATAATTGTTTTTTAAGGTTGTTATGAAACCATCAATAGAACCTCTTTATCCAGCTGATGAATTATATGGTATTGTAGGTGATAATCTCAAACGAGTATATGATGTTCGAGAAGTATGTTTATTTAAAATTAATTATTGTATATTGTATTTTTCTATATTTAAGGTCATTGCTCGAATTGTTGATGGAAGTGAATTTGATGAATTTAAAAAATTATTTGGTGAAACACTTGTTACTGGTGAACAAAAAAAAAAATTTTTTTTTTGATCAAGTTTTTCAAAAACAAACAAAAAATTTTTTGTTTTTCTATTTAATTTAGGTTTTGCACATATTCATGGATATCCAGTTGGTATATTAGGTAATAATGGAGTTCTGTTCTCTGAATCAGCTCTTAAAGGTGCACATTTCATTGAATTATGTTCTCAACTTAAAATTCCATTATTATTTCTACAAAATATAACTGGTAAAATTAATTAGATAAACAAAAAAAATTATTAAAATTTATTAATAGGTTTTATGGTTGGACGTGACGCTGAAGCTGGTGGTATTGCTAAACATGGTGCAAAACTAGTTAATGCTGTAGCTTGTTCTCAAGTACCCAAGATTACTGTAATCATTGGAGGTTTGTTTATTATAATTATTTATTTTTTTGTTTTTCAAATATATTTATTTATAGGAAGTTATGGAGCAGGCAATTATGGCATGGCTGGAAGATCATATAGGTAATAAAAACAAGTAACGTTCGTCGGTTCGACTCACTTGACCCTCGACTGTATCAGACAGAAGTATACAAGTCTTATCCATGGACACCCAGTTATGAAACAGCTGATTAAGGGAGAACTTATCACATATGTCGGATTCTGAAAAATTGAATTGGTTGAAAATCCAATATTAAAAGCAAGAGAATCGAATACTTAGCCAACGGTTTTTTACGATGTTTCACCTTCCACTATGACAAAAACTTATTTTATTTCATATAACCGTTCCTACACTCGAGAAAAAATTTATTTTCTCAAAAAAAAACCATTTCTCCTGAATCCAAAAAAATTCAATTCAAAATTTCGAGAAACTGACCTCAGATTCGGATTCTTCGATCTTGATTTGTTTTCGTCAACCTTTATATAATATCGTTATTTTCGCAAAAAACCCTTTCCTCAATCTAAAAAATCAATTGAAAATTTAAAAAAACTGACTTCAGATTCGGATTCCCCGACTCCGATTTACTTTCGTCAACCTTTATCGAAAATTTTCTAAAGTGGAAGTTTTTTTGACCCCGATGCAGACACACAAACTATTTTTTTTTTCATATGACCCTCCCTACAGTCGAGGGAACAAAAAATTAATCAAGGCCTCTTTGTAAAAGAAAAACAAAAAAGTATTGCCAGTTTTTCATCAGAAAAATCGAAATTCAGATGATCGTGTGAGAATCTGATGTTTCATAAACGATATGAAAAACAGAATATGTTCTCGATTTTTCTCAGTTTATACTTTTCTAATCATGCATTCTAGAATTCTTAAAGGAGTTTTATTGTAAACAATAACTTTTTTTTTTGTTTTTTGCAAGAACATGCAAAGCTTCAGCGTCTGATTTTTCAGTTAAATATTTTCATTATTAATATGAAAAAGTATTTCTATAAGTAATGAATTGGCCGAAAATTTCCAGACAAAATATTTTGAAAATATTTCCAAGGAACCGAAAGCTCTTGTTTATGACAAGAATTTTGTGTTCTTTCTGAATGTAAGTTTCTTGAAATCAGTACAATTTCGAAGTAAATATCTACACCTTTATTCATATATCAGCTTATCAAATAGATGTTACTCTACAAAATATTTTACTATAGATCGCTTCAATTATCGTTTCTCTTAAATCTTCATTTTTTTTCAAAAAAGACTAACTTTTTGACCCAAACGTATTTTGTATAGAAAGAAGCTCTTGGCAAAATGTCGATGACGTCACGTATGAGGAAATTACTCCGGGTGATGTCCGCCATTTGCCTTCATATTAGACTTATAGGCAGGTCTCAATTAGATTTGTACAAAGATTACCAATATATACTGAAAATTTTGTGTGTTTTGAATGCATCTAACTCAAGATTGATTTTTGGAGAAGAGACTTGAAAATTTGTTTTTTTCTTTTTCAGTCCACGATTTTTATATATGTGGCCTAATGCAAGAATATCAGTAATGGGTGGTGAACAAGCTGCTCAAGTTCTTACACAAATAACTGCTGAACAACGTAAAAGACAAGGAAAACAGGTGCATTAATTATTTTGCGCACTTTTCTTTTTTTTTTCATAATATATTTTCTTTTTATATTATCTTCGTCTGTTTCTTTTTTTTTTTAGTTCACAACTGAAGAAGAACAATCTATACGTGAACCTATTTTACGTAAATATGATTATGAAGGCTCACCATATTTTTCATCAGCACGTCTTTGGGATGATGGTGTTATAGATCCAATAGATACTCGACTTGTTTTAGCTCTTAGTCTCAGTGCATCCCTTAATGCACCTATACCCGATACACGTTTTGGTATATTTCGAATGTAATATGTTTGTTTTCTTTTCTTAAATAAATTTCATAATTAAAAGAAAACATAAATAGTTAATAATAATGACGATGATGTCCTCCTGAATGATGATAACTACCATATGAACCACTTGGAGAATAACTGTATCCTTGACTACCATAACCATATGGTTGACTATAGTAGTTACCGTATTGTTCAGCATACATTTCTCCTAGTGCACTATTATACGCCCAACGAGCTTTTCTAGCACCTTGCCAACCCAAATACATTGCACCAGCAGCTAGGAGCAGTTCAAGCACCATTACTCGTGACTGAGTGTGGTAGAGAAAAAAAAATTATGTTTATTACTATTCAAATACAAGTTTTGTGTTCTTTATATATATATATATCGCTACTCTGACGTCATTGAAGCATGACAATCTATCGTAGGTAAATAGTATGTAGTTGCAGAAAAAAAAATATGTGAGAAAATAAATCAGATATAAATGAGGCAAAATATTACTTTTATAATTGTAATGAATGTTTACAAGAAAAGGCAATAGATATGATTATTAAAAATGCAAATATTCATTATAAAATTTGGACAACCTTATTTTCGATTGTGATCTATCTACAGACAAATACTGTTTTCATGATATAGAATGAAAACATTTTTATCAGTAACAGTCAATAAATGTACTTCTATGATATGTATTGGTTTTCATTATGTTTTGTTCTATAATACACAACAGGCCTATGATTAATTAGTGATCATATTATTTTATTTATTAGACTTTGTACTCGATTCTGTTTTTTTGTTAACATCAAACTCAAATTAAAATCGTTCTTCTCCATCATCACTTTCTCATAGACAGACAATACTAGAATTATTCCACAAGATTTATTTTCAAACTATTTAACCCTCGAAAAAAATCTAAATAATTATTCGAGTAGAAAAAATTGTTTCAAACAAAAATAGAAGAAAATAAAAATTATTATCAAATTTTCACAGACAGTCTCCAAAAAGCAAAAATTCTAATTTTTTTAGCAACTGGCATGCTTAAATCTAATTTTATTTAAACTAGTTATAACGATAGAGCAAATGATTATTTACAAAATAAGACATCTCCGAGTTCTATATGACATTTTTTGGCTGAGACATAACAATGTTACGAAGGCATCCAAAGTCATTTTTTTCTACTTCTTACAAAACAACTAATTTGATCTTCTATTAGATTATTGTATCTTAACCAAAAACATCATAGGAAACTCGGAAATGTTTCATTTTTTTTAAGAGAATCATTTGCTCTATTATTCTAACGAGTCTGAATAAAATTAGATTTATGCGCTCTACGTGTTGAAAAACAATTTTTCCTACTCAAATCATTATGTAGATTCTTTCTAACGTTTGAGTCAGCGGAAAAGAATTGAAAAAAAAACCCTTGTTGAATAAATTTCGTACACACTATGTACTTTTTTTTTTAAAAGATTTCACAGTAATAAAATACAAAATTAATAGCTATTGTAATATGATGACAGTTGATGAACAATTAATACAATTGAAATAAAAAGAGAATTCTATATATGTCAGTTTATGTTGTTTTGATGTTAATTGATCAGAAAAATCGTGCCTAAGCTACAGATAAATGTGTTTCATAAAATTTCAAGACGTAGAAAAAACAAAGTTGATATAGACTCTCGATTTGCAAATACTTTCTTCTAGAAAATATATGAAGCGGAGATGATTTTGCACTTTTTTTGTGTAAAAATTGATTTAAAAAAAAAATGAAAAGTACATTTTGTTGTATGTATCAAAGCTTTTTTCTCTCAACATAAATGATCGATAACAGATCGTATTCAGAGGTGTTTGAGGTCTATGACTCATGCTCTCACCACCTTTGGAATGAAAAGAATTTTGCATACAAAGTTTAATCGTAGTGCAAAAACAACGAACTTTATGAATTTTCCTTGGAACACAATACATATCATTTATCTGTTGAATTTTATCTCATATGTAAGCTTATTGAAAAAAAAAACAATTTAGTGTCCAATGTTAATGGAAAAAGAAGGAAGAATATTCCTGCTTTTCCACTGCTTTGCGATATGAAGTACAACCTAGTGGCAAACTCAATAGTTCGATATCTTTTCTATAACTATGACTAGCTTTAGCACTGAACAGAAAGTTGGTCTGACCAAGATTTATCATGCAAAGGTACGTGACAATGTATTCATCACGCTATCGAATGGTCAAATCCGAAACAAATACCTGTTAGTGAATTTTCTAGAATCATTCCATGGATTTTGATACTAAGGTTTGCATACAGTACGTCGTGATTATGTGTCGAACAACACGACATTCAGTAATGGAAGTCAATGTTTATTGAAAATTAACTTATTAGAAGTTCGCTTTCATATGTAAATATACATGTTTTTGATAGTACTAGATAAGATGAATACGAAAAGAACTTTCTACAGCTTGATTATGTTAATTATGATAGTTTTGTTCAATTTACTATATTTATACAGAAACTCTATGGCTTATTATTTGGACATAGTCGGATAGAATATCAGTGACTCTAGAGAACCATTAATTTCTTTTTGATTTATCAGGTAAAATTTTGTGACAAATAAAAAATGACAAAATTTTCAACAGTAAAATTTAATATTCTATTTTATTTGAAATTCGTTTTGTTTTATATTTTTAATATTTTCTACCTTAACAAATCTCTTTCATATAAACTAATTTTCATGATTAATAAATTTAGTTTCCATGAATTATGAATGTACAAAAGTTTCGTTTCATTGTTTGTCAATGCTTATCAAATTTTCATAGATAGTTGCAATATGAATAAAAATGACAACTAACATAATACGATAGAGTAATCGATGCTCTATTTAACTATCAATGTGCAGTTTGGGTCGAGTCAATGAGTTCGATCCATGTCAGACACTATTAACTATATTAAATTAAGAAATAAACGAGGTTTTATGAAAAAATACAGCGAATTGAACATAGTCATCCAATATATATCGTAATCAAATAGTCTTATTAACTTTAACAGTTTTGTTTTGACATTATTGTTTTAGGACAATTTTTTATTATATTATTCGACTACTTCATTTACATTCTTCGTTGATTCATAAGTGATGCACTTCACTGACTGATGACATCATAGAAAGAGTTTTGAACGTTTTCTTTTTTTTTTTGATACATATCTTATAAAATGACTTCATTCACATTTTTGCAATGAATTTCTCGAATTATATAAGAGAAGATAAATTTTATGTAGTTTTTAAAAGTTCTTTCAAAACCAGTTTTTTTTTGTCTACAGCTTTTTGAAAAAATTTAAGAAGAAATGCGAAAATTTTATATTTGATACAGTTTGATTCTTGATTCCAAATATCTAAATATGTATCTATTTCAAGTCTACTATCAATCTATGTCACGACCATATCCATTTTAGGTCATTTGATATAAGCTTATTTAATAATAAAATTCGCATACTGCATTGTACTTCATTGATACTCAAATCTTGAAGTATGATTAAGTATCGAAACTTTATTGTTAAATAAAATTATATCAAATGACCTCAAAGTAATATGTTCGTGACATACATTGATAGTAAATTTGACATAATTATGAAGTTACAGAGAATAGCTTTGGCATGTCATTGAAGTGTAGTGAAGTATTGAAATTTCATTTTTTCTTCTTTGTATTACTGTCAATTATTTTGAAGAGATCAATCTTGTTAGATGGACTATATAGAAAAATAAGAAGTTTTCTAATCGGTTCGAACAACACAAAACATCAATTTATATTACAATTTGTTCTTGATAAAATAAATACCAGTTTTGTTTTAGTATCATTATCTTTGCTATAGTGGATCTATACCTGAAATTATCAAGAGTTTGTTGATATAAAACATCAATGATGCAAAATTTTTGAATAATATAATTATTGAGAATATTATGGAATTTGATACTATATGAACTCAAATTTCACAAAATGAGAAATTATAATAACAAAAAAGAATTGTTTGATGATTTTTATTATTTAGATATTTTTTCTTATTTTTAATTTACTATTTGATCAGATAGTGCACACGTTTGAGCACATCATCCGAAAAGAAAATATCTAAACATGCACATTCATTTTTGCTGTAGGTAATTTGAAACAAGTATACAGTAATATTATCCACTCTGCACAATGATTAGATATAGTTAATGCTTGTGATAGAAAAAAAAGACAGTCATGTTGATATGACTTTACAGACAGTGTTACTCTTTATTTTTATATAGAAAGTAATTTTTCTTTATAGATAATTTTAAAAGACTAAACAGAAAAATATTTCCAATAAACATTTACATACTTACATAGCATGCATTTAACAATTAAAATATAGCAAAAAAACGATAGTTGTTACATATAAGAATAACGACATGATTTTCTACATCAAGTATTTCAATTTCCAGAAAGAGTATCTCACACGAGTCTATTCTTTAGTTGGCTGTAGGGAAGATGAATATAAAAATAATTGCATTTACTGGAAGTCATTTCATTCAAATTCATCGTACTCTCAAGAGTCAATGATATAATATCTATCTAAAAATAGAAAATTTAAGTAATTACGTAGACTGCTAGACAAAATATATAAAGAATAATTTCAAATTAATTCTATCTCATTTATATTTCAATCCAGGGATATCATAGCAAGTTTTTTTGTTTCTATGAAAGATGCATCATGATGTTTTTTTTTTCTAGAAATTTTTCTTGTACAGTCTTTCAATTATATAAAATAAATCTCTTTTTTTTTTTGTATTTAGAACATTTCTCATGATGAAGAGATACTATAGTATTTATTAATCGAATATTCTCAAAAAAACAAAATTAATCAATTAAATTTTGTCATTTCGAACAATTGTTTTACTATGAGAATTGTATGTTTTAACAAAAATTTCATAAATGAATAAAATTTGGAAAATTTTCTTGAATTGTAATGATTTAAATGAATTATTTTTTCAAAAATCGTTTAGACACTAACTATTAGTGTTCGTATGATCTTCTTGATCGATACAAGTAGATTTCTTTATCTTGAACATTCAGATTTTGTACAATCAACCAACATTTTGGATTCCTTTTTGGTCTTTTTTTTTTTCGATGATTAAAATAATTTCTAAATATCATAAAACTGACAATGTTTAATGAATAATGTTTTTACAAGAGATTATGTGCTATATTTAACGAGTAAAATTACCTCTTTCTAATGCTGCTATAATAAAATACAAGAAAAAAAAAATTAATAATAAAGTCAATGTCAAAAAA